CTTGGCGTCACTTCCCGCAATGGGAGAATAGTCCTCCTCCTCGTCGGTATCGCAACGACGTCGACGTCGATGACGACCGATGTTGTGCTAAAGGTTAACTTGCTCCTGGCTGGTGGACGGCTGCATAGATGGCTCGGTATTGGCCAGCTCACTTTCGTTGCCGCTCTCATCGCCCGACAAACTTGGCATGCCTGCCCGACTCTCCTGCGCTTGCGGCGGCACAACAGAACAATCCTCATTCTGCTCTCCTCCGTCGTCCAGAACGAGAGGATGGCGGTGTTCTGGGTCACTTGTCTGAACGCTGTCGCCGCGGTGATCACGATGTCGAAAGAAGTGGCAGCTGCCGGACCTCTGTTGTAGATCAACCCTACGACCGGAGGTGGCGCTGCATGGGCTCTAGGGCTAAAAGCGTGGCTCGGCATCCGCCGGTTCGAGCTCGCTGGTGCTCTCGTCGTCCGGCAGTGTGGTGTGCGTGCCCGGCTCTCCACCACTTGCGGCGGCACGGCAGGGAAGTCGATCCGGTCTTGGCTGTTGGGCGGCTGCAAGAGCAGTCCGGCATCGGCCGGCTCGGGCTCGTCGCCCTCGCTACCCTCATTGTCCGCCTTGGCCTTGAGCGACTTGGCATCTCGAAGTCGACGGTAAAATGCAGATAGGTTCGGGTGCCTGGCACATCCGTCGCCCTGACGACAAGACGACCCTGCTGCGCACGCGAGCGCATGGCGGGATGCCGGGGATGCCGGAACTGGTCGGTCGTACTCCGCATCTAGAGCTACAGGCGAGGCAGGCGATTCATCGCCTAGACCGGCCATGCTGGTAACCGAGGGCTCTGGTACGTCGCTATCGCCGGAAGCAGCGTCGACACTTTTGCCTGTTCAGACATGTCAACCTGTTGGCCTGCCGAGAAATTCGAGATCCAGGCACATACCTATGCCAGTAACACGGTCGGATTTAACTTGTTGCGTGCATATAATAGAAGCGACTTAAAAGATGTGTCGGATCGGCCATCGAGATCATCAAACTCGTCATCGCTTGGGATCAGGATAGCATCGGCCTGTGACTTTCCAGCACTGCCACGATGAGGATCGGGCGCATCCTGCGGCAGCGGCGGGTGCAAAGGAACCCCAAAGCTTGCTTCAGAGGGTTACCCCTCTGGAACCTGAAGACCACGGCTCGCAGGCTCGAGACCCGCCGCCACAAGAGGGACGTAAATTGGTTCTCATTTTTCCTCGGAAAATGTCGCTTGGCTGGCAGCACGTCCTCTCTGCCTTCATCCGCCTTGCCGTTGACAGACGCCGGATCTGTGGACACCCGTACGCGCTTGACGGCCGCCACTACTGTTTCTGGCTGTACCTGTGGCTCGATCCAGCGTCGCATTACATTTTGGGAGCAGGCTATTGGGCGGACCCGGCCACGGCTGGAATGAGCGATCAGTGCGATCAAGCTAAGACCACTGGATATATATGCGGGTGCTTTTTACCATGTAGGCAGAACGTTTGTCTGAGGGTCGCCGTAAGTCACTCTCATTTTGCACTCTAGTCGGCCCACTAGCCGACTGCATCTATCGAGCTTTATTCTTTAGAACCCCAGAGTCACTCGGTCTACTACTTCCGACCCAAAACACCTTACCCGGAACAGGTACACCTGCATCGTAATCGTAACACCGCGCAGCGGATAGCGAACTATTATTTAAAAAAAAAAAAAAATACCTAACGTGGGATGTGCCATGTGCAATATGGAATTCAGGGCCACAGCGGGAAAAGACAGGCTGGTAATGCTGGCCCGCGGAGCTGCTTTACCTCCCTTGTCCCTGCCCCCGAGACAAACTTCTGGTTAGGATCTGGATGCACCCTCTTCCTTTTGACAGGCCGCAACTCCTCCAATTGTGCCTCCTGCTGCCTGGTTTTGATTTTGAGGCTTGCGATCTCGATACTCTGTATATCCAAAGCTTTGGTAACCTTCCGGAACAATAG